ATATAATAGCATGGAACAATAAAAAGTTATAGATATGTTGGATACGTATCTAGAGGTGCACCCACTCCCCTTTATATAGATATGTGAGGTGGGCTCATCATTTGTGGCCCACTAGGAGTCTACACCCATTTTTCATTCGGATCCAGTCCAAATGAGTTGCGACCCTTAAGTGTGCGACTCTGTAGGTTCACGTACACATGGACACGGCCTGAGTCGATAGTTGGTAGTTGCTCCTAGCAGAATGTGCAAGTCCCATGTGTGCATAAATTCGTTTGACGAACCTCGACAATGTGTCATATGCAACATTCCTTTTGCCTCACGATATATTCTATTAAGCTCAAGGCGAGTACTTGTCACCCTTGTGGCCTTGTGGTAGCTCGACCTCTCTTCTCAAAACTGTGATACAGATTCCCGAACTAGGTTAACACTTAACCCAAGTTGCATTGATGCGGCTTGAACTACGTTGATATTTCCCCAAAGAGGAAGGGATGATGCAGCACATCGACGGTACGTATTTCCCTCAGTGATGAGATCAAGGTTATCGAACCAGTAGGAGAATCACGCAATACTACGTAAACAGTACCTACACACAAAGAACAAATACTTGCAACCCGACGTGTTAAAGGGGTTGTCAATCCCTTTCGGGTAACGGTGCCAGAAATTGTTAAGTTGACGAGATAAAATTGTAGTAGATTGATAGATGCAAATAAAAGCAAATCAAATTCAGCGAGGTATTTTTGGGTTTTTGATAATATAGATCTGAAAATAAAAATGGCAAATAAATAAAAAGACAAATAGCAAAATAGATCTGAAAGTATATGATGAGAAAATAGACCCGGGGGCTGTAGATTTCACTAGTGGCTTCTCTCGAGAAAAATAGCATACGGCAGGTAAACAAATTATTGTTGGGCAATTGATAGGATTTCAAATAATCATGATGATATCCAGTCAATGATCATTATATAGGCATCATGTCCAAGATTAGTAGACCGACTCCTGCCTGAATCTACTACTATTACTCCACACATCGACCGTTATCCAGCATGCATCTAGTGTATTAAGTTCAAGGAAAACGGGGTAATGCAATAAGAACGATGACATGATGTATACAAGATCTATTTATGGACAAATAGACCCCATCTTGATATCCTAAATAGCAATGATACATACGTACCAGTTCCCCTTCTGTCACTGGGATCAAGCACCGTAAGATCGGACCCATCACAAAGCACCTCTTCCCATGGCATGAAAAATCGATCTAGTTGCCCTAACTAAACCAAAGATTTGAAGAAGAAATACGAGGCTATAAGTAATCATGCATATAAGAGATCAAAAGACTCAAAGAACTTTCATGGATAAAAACATAGATCTGATCATAAACTCAAAGTTCACCGGATCCCAACAAACGCACCACAAAAAGAGTTACATCAAATAGATCTCCGAGAGACCATTGTATTGACAATAAAAAGAGAGAGATGAAGCCATCTAGCTACTAACTATGGACCTGTAGGTCTACAATGAAATACTCACACACCATCGGAGAGGCACCAATGAGGATGATGAACCCCTCTGTGACGGTGTCTAGATTGGATCTGGTGGTTCTGGAACTTGCGGTGGCTGGAATTGATTTTCCTCGCCTCCCCTAGGGTTTCTAGAATATTAGGGTATTTATAGAGCAAAGAGGTGGTGCGGGAGGCGGCCGAGGTGGGCACAACCCACCAGGGCGCACCTGGGCCCCCAGGCGCACCGTAGTGAGTTTTGCTCCCCTTGGAGGTACTTCTTTGGCCCAACATGTGTCTTATGGTCCAGAAAAAATCTTCAAAAAGTTTTGCTGCGTTTGGACTCCGTTTGGTATTGATTTTCTATGAATGAAAAAACAAGCAAAAAAACAGCAACTGACACTGAGCACTATGTCAATAGGTTAGTCCCAAAAAATGATATAAAGTTGCTATAAAATTATTGTAAAACATCCAAAAATGATAATATAACAACATGGGACAATAAAAAATTATAGATACGTTGGAGACGTATCACGCATGGTCATGCTTTCCAAATCTGATTGCTCGAGAGGGAGGGAAGAATATCTCTCCTTACAGAGGGGCAAATCCCTTCTTGATCAACCATGTCTCGCGGCATGTCTCACGACTCACCCGAAAGCTACCTTTATAACTACCCAACTGCGGAGGTGCGTGTGATAGACCCTAAGTGCGTCGATCCTCATCCCGAGAACATGGTATATACAACATACTTGAGACTAATAGATGACAATATATCATTGCGTCCCAAAGTGGGTATGTCAGACTCGGTGATCTTCATCCCTGAGTCCATACTATCGGTTTAGCATCTCTATGCCAATAACTTGTGAAACATAGTCACCAACCAAATCATATACTAGTCAAAGGGTATGTGTCCGCATAATCTTATTAACTAGAGACCGTTAGAACAATCGTCATATAGTATATAGTTTCACAAACAAGTCACAAACTTATTGATACATATCATTGATGTCCAAGGACAATTGAAACGACTCTTGAATACATAGGGAAATATAATCATCACATGATTGGCTTTAGGGCATACCTCCAACAGTAGGAACACAATTTTTTTTGCCTCGGTTCTGAATTTGTGGGATCTGATGAATGTATGTGGTGATATTTGAGTTCATATTTATCCTAGATTGAAAGGATACGATAATATATTCTGGGCCATGTGGCTATCAAAGGATATTCTTGATTCCCAACCATATACATTGTGGTATCTGATCCGTGCGAAACCCCGTCGATTCATGTGATTTGTGAACTTATAAATCTTTGGAATGTCCTGCTCAATTTCGAGGTTACGGAGGAGGCAAACTCGTTTTTGGTAGCGACTACCTAGAATTCGCTTTTCCTTGGAAGAGAGTTTACACCAGGCATCACCAAGATCTGGGCTTGCTAGGCACCTTTGGAGATTAAGATATTTGTTTGGTTGACACTTCATAATCATCTATGGATAACGGATAGATTTGCTAGGCAAAATCTTCAACATTCACCGCACTACATGCTTTGTTGCCAGGAAGAGGAGTGCACAACTCATCTCCTCCTAGGGTGCTCTTTTTCACACGAGACCTAGTTCAACATTCTACCGCCAATGAGGCTTCACCGCTTCACTCCCACCCCGACTGCCTCCCTTAAGCTTTGGTGGCCTCCCTTAAGCCAGGCTTCATCGGTTCACAAGGAGCTAAACACGCTGATCTGCTGCACCCTTCACATGATTTGGTTGGAAAGGAACAACAAAGTCTTTGACAAGATCGCTTCGATGTGACCATTGGTTATTCAGAGAATTAGAGAGGAATTCTCCATGTGAAAGCTCCCTAGAGTAAGTTAGGACGTGGACAATAAGAGTTAGTTGCCTTGTTGTGGGTGGTGAGGTGTTTGCACCTCATGTAATTAAGCTGGCATGTAAGTTTTGTTGAACCCTTCCCCTTTCTTAATACAAAAGACACACAAACTTGTGTGTTCTTGAAAAAATGGGATCAATGGCACTAGGATATGGAAGCCTCAGGAAAAAGTAGAAGGATATGGAAACCTCGTCCCTAGAAAAAGGATATGGAAACCTTGGGTCCCACTACATTCAAGCCTCTTGACGGTGGAGATTATCTCGTTTTGTCAGACTTATGCTTTTACATACTCCATCCGTTCTAAATTGGTATATTAATTTTTTTTGCAGAAGTTAGACGTATATATGTGTTTGATTAAGCTTATAGGAAAAATATACGAACATCTACAATATGAAATAAACATAACATAAAGATATATTTCATGTTGTATTGATTAATCATATATGAGTTTAATAATGTTTGAAAAAGTAATACACCTTGCACTTTGAAATGAAAGTGCTGACGGGTTATGATGATCTATACCCACTTGCTTTGCCACGGATACACTCCCGCCGTTCCTTTATAAGGTGTATATTTTTGACATGGTGACCAAGACACATAATTATAGAGAATTTATGATGAAATTATCGTTGACTAATTTATTGGTTAGCGACAAATAAATCAATTAGTCTAGAAAAGAAAGAGACGCATGCAACTGGAAGACATTTTTTTTCCTACAAGAGGGATACATGCAATCGAGAGATATATACTTTTATTTTTTGTGGAGGATATAAACGAAATTGCGAAGAATTAGAGAGATGCACATTACATTGTGAAATTTTATCAGCAAATAAATACACTTTAGATAAGGGAATGGAGCGAATATTTTTTTGAGATGGGTGCTTTTTTTTGCATGACAATACGTGTCTCGTTTATATCATAAAGATCATAGTACAAGTCACGTATAAACCGACTTGACAAAACGGAAAAGACACCAGAACGCTAACCTTTACACAAAGGAACAACAACCAAAGTCCAAGAAGTAAAATTACAATCAAGACCGAAGAGACCTTTGAACTTGACACCAACGCCCATCACCAACCTCTGGAACCACCATCACATCCACCAGAGTAAAAAAATGACGGATCACCTTCACACCAGAGCTCGAAGCGGCTCCTTCGCTGAGATGGTCGCAATTAAGACTGGTAATTGATAGTTGCGGCGAGGGCAGTATGCAGCAGTGGATCTTTCTTGTTTTCTGTTGCTTGTATGCGTTTTTGTATCGTTACTATTATTATAAATAAAATAAATGTATGCCTATGGGTACATCTTAAAAAAAAGTTCGCCATGGAGTGTTCTACAGTATTTAAGAAAAAGAATGATTCCCTGGAGCTATGCACACGCGATTGGGCCATTCCGCGTTGTTTTGGGTAAAGAAAACACGGTTTACACAGCCCAAACTCGTGGGGAGAACGGGGGCGGGGGATCGGCGTGCAATCTGGGCCACCCGGAGCGCACGCGGCGCGCTGCTTTCGCGGCCCTCGCCACATCCACCACGACCACCACCGCCCCGGCATTCCCGGACGGCCACCGCACCGCTCCTCCCGGCCTCACCTCACCTCACCCATACTTAACCCCAGCCATGGGTGGGAGCCGAGCCCTTTCCCTCTCCTCCCTCTGCGCCGCCTCCCTCGCCGCCGCCGCCGCCGCCGCGACCAGGTTCCCCCTCCTCTCCCCCCACCACCGCGCGCGCCACCTCCGGCCCCGCCTCGCCGCCGCCATGTCGTCCTCCTCCTCGCCCGCCCCGGCCCCTGGGTCCGACCCCGCGGCCCCGGCGGCGTCCTCGGCGTCCTCCGCCATCGACTTCCTCACGCTCTGCTACCGCCTCAAGGTTAGTGCTGCCTGCCTGCTCCACCACCGGTTTAGGTTTGCTTGCATCGTCGGTTGATCTCGTGTGATGGGATGATGGGCGGCATGGGTTGCAGACGACGAAGAGGGCTGGTTGGGTGAGGCGCGGGGTGCCGGGCCCCGAGTCGGTGGCCGACCACATGTACCGGATGGGAGTCATGGCGCTCATCGCCGCCGACCTTCCGGCCGGCGTCAACCGCGACAGGTGTGTGGATACCCAGCCATCCCCTCCCATTGTGCGGTGGGACCTCGTTCTTCTAGTATCCTCTTATGCCTAATGAGTTGTATGTTTTTTTCGTTTTCTACAGGTGTGTGAAAATGGCGATTGTGCATGACATAGCCGAAGGTAATCCCGGATGACTCTTCTTTTTGTTCGATTTTGTGTCTTTCAACTTTGAGATTGTTGGAATGTGAGGGTGTTAGTGATCAGTATGGAACCACACATGCATTGTCCTTTCCATTGTGCAAAATAAACAATTGCTTATCAGGATGCTACTTTGGTTAACTCGTTCCAATCATTTTAATGCCCAGCTATTGTTGGCGATATCACCCCTGCTGATGGTGTACCCAAGGAAGAGAAGAGCCGTAGGGAGAAGGAAGCTTTGGACCATATGTGCGCATTGCTTGGTGGAGGTTCAAGAGGTTAATACTGAAATATGGAAAAGCTTAACATCTATAGTTCTGTGTCTTGGAAACTTTAGGCTGGCTCGATTCCATAGTCCATTGATATAACTTTCTTCACCTTGTGATAATTATGAAGACTGCATTTTAATTCGATTATAAATTGGTGAAACTTCATAATGAGCATAAACACTTGAAGGGGGAGAGAATGAAATATGAGCTTAGATTGTTCTTATTCCCAATTTCTGTAAATGCTTAAGATACTAATTAGGTTTCTTATGTTTGTTATTCTAAATTCCATATTTGTCATGTTGTTCTCTTGTTACTTAAAAGTGGTAGTTACCATCAAAGAAAACAAACCAATGTATTGGACAACATTGGATTTTTACATATAGTCCTCCAGTTAGGTGTCAGCAGCAAGTAGCAACATTTTGAAACTAATAAATAACTAAGCCATCTGTACTCAAATATTCATTCTTAATACAAGGTAACGAGTGATATCCTTCGCGAACAGGCTGAGTACTTTGCATTGTTTTATGCTCTTGTCCTTGTACTTTTGATATGTTGTAGAAATTCACTTATCTCATGCTGGTCTTTTTCAGCCGACGAAATTCGTGAACTTTGGATGGAGTATGAGAACAACGCCACTTTAGAAGCGAAGGTTGTTAAAGATTTTGACAAGGTAAGCTACTTGCAATTTTTACCCCGTAAATCATTAGAGACTTGTACCTGCAAGTGTTGACGCACTGGGATTACCAACAATTAACTTAATAGTGCATTAACAAGAGGAGATAATCAGCTGCTAAAGAGAGTGGCTACTATTATGAACATTGGCAGACCATGGAACAGGAATTATTGTAACTTAAGGTCTCCTTAATGTTGTTGATGAAATATTCTCTCTTGACTAACTGTTTGTTTTCTTCTGTATTCTATTTTTAGGTTGAGATGATACTTCAAGCACTGGAATACGAAAAGGGTAAGCTCCTACTGATACAATCCCCAGCGGTACATGGATGTTTGGATAGTTTGATTTACTCAGGAAGTCAGCATCAGTCTTTTTCCCATGTGCACACCCATAACTACGGACTATAAAGTCTGAATTTACTGAGTAATCTTCTTGATTCGGTATAGTTATAGGGGAGGCACGACTCTAGTAACAAGCGCAGGATTTTTTCGTTCATTTATCTTTGGTTCTCAGCAGTGGCGGAGCCAGGAATTTGCTCCTGGGTATTCTTGCAATTTTTTTTTGCCAAAGCAATATAATAGGACAGCAAATATAAAGTAATCGGTGGCTTGTACTCCTAGCAATCACTTGCAGTGGCAATTTACATATAAAAAGTTTCAGATTTGTTTAAAAATAGAGGAAATGACCTTGTAGATGGATGGGGGGTGGCTGGATGCACTTTGCAGTACTGGATGGATGCAGGACTGCTGTAGGTGGAGCC